GTGAAAATTCCACAACATGAATATGCCACCTATAAACTACGTATGTTCTCCTGCACATACAGACCAACACTCATGGCAACAGAACCTCAACCAAAGCATGGTACTGAACACAATAAAACATTTCAACCTAGTTCCCATTATTTCCAAGATAAAAATTGTGCAGCGTATCTGATTAATTTATATTACAATCAATCTCTAATGAAGAATTTCATGCTCACTACAGAATAATCATCCTGATGATGAAGGCAGCAAAGACCTCTGAAACACTGGTAAACTTCTACCACAACAAGTTGCTACAAACCAGAAGACAGCCATCTTTGTACTCATTGCCATGAGAACTTCAAATCCAACATCAACCCCTTTCCTGATTAATTTCTTTCTGAATACATGAAAAAATTGATTTTACATTTTAAACATATAAACAAAAATTAAATTACTGGCACGCATTTGGATGAAAAATATTTAATTGTTTACATTAAATGTTATTGTTATTATTATTATTGTTATTATTATTATCATCATCATTATCCCAGCTTATATCATGTCATTTTTCATTATTTGTAAAAACCTCTTCATAATCACATCACACAAATGATAAACTGCAGCTAGTGTAGAAACTTATGACACATGCTACAGAAGCAAAGTAAGTATTATTTGCATCTAATCTACTCAAAAACATATAAACACATGTGGCTTATCAAAGTACAGCAGTCTATTTACTGACACCTAGGGTCTGATAAGTGTATATTTTTCATGAGATGAATTTGCTTGGTTTACTGATGATGTGATGGAAGGAAGAAAGAAGTTCCAAATTGCCTTTTCTCATTAAATCAACCCAAGAAATATAAACAGGGAAGCTATTAAGGTAGGAGCAAACTTTCAGATACAGGTGATTCTTGTTATACATGCTTACACATCCATGTTCTTACACTACCGCGGTCTCATTTCAGTGTCATGAGAAGCATCAATATCCTATTCATGGCTAAATTTGCATCAAACATTCTCCAGGCTTATCAGGAAATGTGATGCAGATTATAAGCTTTGCAACAAAGAATTATGGTTGCAGTTTAACATCAAAATAGTAATTATTACATTTTAATCATTTTCCATTTTTTTTATACATGTCAATTCACAGGAATGGAAACCCCTGTGCATAACAAACAGAAGCCACCTGGACTTTATAAGTATTTGATTACCCAATGCTTTTCATTGTTAATATACCATTACTTTATGTTCATGGCACAATCGAAATACTGTAAATATATAATGTAGTAATGTGCTAAACCTTTAACTTCTCATGATGGTCACTAGCAGCTGATACACATCAAGTTTTTAAGGCTGCATTATTAAACATTCCATTACATGGTTATATTTTATACATTAGTTCTCATACTCAACATATTTCCATAACAACCATTTCAATACTGTGCTCCATTTCCTTCTAGGTCTTGCAATGGCCACTTTCCAAAATGCCCCCCCACAATCAAAATTCTGCATTCCTTGTTGTTATCAAACAATCTTCATGTAGCAGCCACAAAAAACTTGATGGCTTGCACAAATTATGGAATTCAGGTTAGTTCCTTCCTCATAAATATAGGGAAATATCTTCCAAGCCTAACAAAATATTTCTGCAGGATGTCATGCTCTGATGGTCAAAATATTTCACTTATATTATACGGACATTAGTAAGTCTGAGCAAGTTATTTTGTTATCTGCATTACATAGCAGTAACGGTTGGCTCAGCTAATACAGTTGGTTTATTCACTGATCAAAAAATCATAACACTAAGCTCCCCCAATTTTAAGAGAATTTCCAGGCTTCTTATTGATGAAAGAATGAAAAAAAATATTAATTTAGCAATAAAAGTTAACAAACCACTGCTGCTTGTTGTCTGACAAGATTTTATCGAAAATAGAATTGGTTTCATTAAGCTCACATAGAAATAAAATCTGAATTATGTGACTTACTAGGTATGGCCAGGTTATTAGAATAAATTTGTGTCAAAGTGAACAACCAAAATCAAAAACCATCTTGAAAGGTGTGTCATCCATTTCTGCATATAACTAATGGTTCACAAACAAGGAAAATGTTATCCATTAATTTCTTTAACTAATATACAATTAACCTTCTGACTGTGCATTTAGCATCAGACAGATGTCAAGTGCTATTACAAATTGTCTTAATAGAACAAGAACAATGTACTTTCTAATACATGATAAACGTGTGCTGTCACATCTGTAAACTTACAAATTTTTGACTAGTCACTTGTCAAGTTGGTCACCCATATTTATGACTATCCCTTCAAATACAAACTCACGTGATATCACAATCAGCATGGAGCCAGGACTGTGAAATCCTTTGTAAAGAACATCAATTTAGAACAAGGTGCAGAGATACAATTCCAGAGTATTCAGGAAAAAATTAAAAACCTGCAATTTTCCCCCCCCCCAATTCCTCTCACTCTCATGACAATCAGTATATACAGTAAAACCCCTCAAATTGGATGCCCCTTTATACTGGACACTTTTAATTGGAACCAGCAAATATCCTATAATTTTACATATCCACAATACCCTATATCTTGGACACCCCTTTTGTTGTAAGTTTGACAGGTTCATGCACTTAACTTTGATGCTTTTCAGGGAAACTTTTTCAGTTACATATTTTGTTATTTTGAATTTCTGACTGAAGAATGCCTCCTCTCTGGAGGATTATCTTATGGGCATTGAACCCATCATTGGAATGCATTGCAAGTGTTTAACTATTCTTTTGCTGAACACTTAACTGGACTAGAGTATTGCAGAAGACACAGTTTTAACTCCATCAGTACTGGAATTTTTATTTTTTGTGATGGGGGAGCGAAAATTGGTGGAATTAACTTTAGAAAATGTTATTGAGGCTGGGGTGTAGTGTGCAATGCATGGGAGTGGACTTCAAAAGATTATTATTAATACTATAGTCATATAATTCTTAATTCAAGTAAGCCTACAGTAATGTACGAGGGTCGCTCATTAAGTAATGCCCCACATTTTTTTTCTCAGCCAATAATGAAGATAGAAAAGTGTACTTTTACATGCTTGAGATTTGATGTTTCCCGCGTTCGTGTACGGAGTTTCAAATGATTCCAACCGATAGCGGAGCTGTAGTGAACTGTTAAAATGGCGTCTGTGAACGACTCTCGGTACAAGCAACGAGCTGTAATTGAATTCCTTGTTGCTGAAAAAGAAACGGTGGTGAACATTCATAAACGTTGGTGTGCTGTGTATGGAAGCTGTGCAGTCGATAGGAGCACCGTTGGTCGCGGGGCTAAGAGAGTTAAAGCTTCAGGAAGTGAAGAAACCGAGCTCC